TGTTAGATAAAGAGTTGCTGCTGTTATTTTTTTTTTTTGACCCCAATTGTGTCATTGTAATTTTTTTATAGGATACTAAACGTTTAGAAAAGTGGCAGCATATATATCGTTCCTAGTGCCGATAAAGCACTTTCTAGAGATGATGCTGTTCTATACTTTTTAGAAGATATTATCAAATATTAGGAGAATACTTTTACTGATGGTACTGTTAGCAAAATAAAAAGGGGAAAGCTGAAATTAAAGGATGAGGTAATACCATGTACATTCCCAAATCTCCCTTTATACTTGTATTACAACAATAAAAAATCTGTTAACTGTGTTTTATTTTACTCTTAAAACTATATATTGGTTCAATTCAAAAAAAAAAATTGCCACAAAATTGTTTATTAAATTTCAGCAATTAAGAAACCTTTTCGATTTTGGTCATACATACCTAATTTGTATTTTATTATATAGATAAAATTAAATAATTTATCAATTAAAACATACAAGACTTATTTAGAAATAAATACAATAGTATGTTTTGTGCTTTATTTAGCTATATACAAGTTTATTTTTATTATATTGACAAAATTATGTATAATTCCCATAAGAAGCAATGTATTTTGAACACCGTATGCAGTACCAGCGCCCATGCGGTTAATTATAGAAGCTCAATTAACATGCGTTTTTTGAGATCGTATTTTGAGTAGGCCGATTCGTCTCCTTGTCTCTAGTCTTCATAGACCTGACTAACTTTCTGTGGTTAATAGTACGTCAAAAAAGAATGTTAGTTTACTTAATAAACATATGTCCGAAAAAGCATAATAAGAATGGTACCCTTCTTCGAAGGGGGTTGAAGGTCTCTCAAAATTTTATTCAAATCGATTAGTAAGTTTTTGAGATATCTCATTATGCATTTTAGGACATGTTTATTAAGTAAACTAACATTGTTTGACGTATAGGTTTGTTCCCGAAGCGAGTTCCTAACATATTGAGTATGCGCAGTATAAAATAACTGTTCCAGCAGAGCAAAGTTCCAAACAAATTGAACTTGTTTGATGTTTCCGCAAGATTAAAAACTTATTCATAACATGTTTGTTACTAGTTTTATTGGTTCCTAAATAAAATACGAACTTTAACTTTCGCGCATGCGTGCTTATTTAAAATCATTTTTCTACTTTTTCTCCTTTGGTTTTAATTGGGTTTTTGGTTAGTTTTGTGAGTGTCTATTATCTTTTAATTTTAATTAAAATCTTATACAGCGTTGTAACAGCAAAAATATAATAAGGAGGGTAGTTTTTATTTGTGCAATTTTGAATTGATCATAAAGTATAACATCAAAATCTTATTTTTTGAATAATTATAGGTAATTGAATGACCTGTATTTAGTTAAAACACTCAGCAACATTAATTTTTTAACGTTCCAGCACACATTTATTCAGAACTCATTCCGTACATTATTCTGCTCACGCATGCGTATCAGATAATGCTTGTAACAAGTTTGGAACTCGCTTCGGGAACAAACCTACTATTAGCCCTAAAGTTACTCAGGTCTTTATGAAACACTGTATAATGAAGCTAAGGAAGTAAAGTAAATGCACATAAAAATTGTTAAGAGGGTGATTTACATTTCGTTTTTGGTGGAGTAACTTTCATCAGTTTACTATTAGCTCTTTTGGGAAACAAAAAATATTTTTTGATCAAGTATATTAAAAAAAGTACTCCCTAAGCAACATAGTTTCAACCATCTGTTCTACTGACGTAATTTTTATTTTATTGTTGAAATAAAGTCATAGGATGGAGGAGAGATTTTTGCACTGGAATGTGCTGTCCCTGGTGAAACTTTGAATAAAATAACATTATATATCTATAAGATGATAAGTCAATTTAAATTTACCAGAACCGGTAAAAATTATGCAAAACTAATATAATAATAGCAATAAAGTAATCACCTTCAGGTTGTAAAACTAATATAATAATAGCAATAATCACCTTCAGGTTATTGATACCGGCTCATATTAGATAACATTTTTTTCCCAATTCCTGAGTGCTAGAATGATATCATCAATTTGTTAAGTTGCGAATCAAAAACAAAGATAATTTAGTACAAAAATAGAATTTGGCATTTTATGATGCATAAATAAAAACATTCGGAAAATTCTTTGGTTATATTTAGACGCTCATAAATTTTATTTTAACGTTAGTATATAAATCAAATCCGATATGAAATAAATTAATAATTGCGTTGTCCAGTACTCAAGACAACCTGGACAGGGATTCTTATGTGCGAACTCAACATGTTACATCTTGAATAGAGAGAGAGAGAGAGACATTACATAAGAATCGGATTCTGTCGAACGAAGCTAGGCGTCTCGACATGTGCCGTATTGAAAGATAAGAATCCCACTGTTGATTTGAGAAAAATCAAGAGGAAGTTTGTGAAGTGCTCAATAGCCTGAGTGTGATAAGGACAATCTACTTCAGTAGTACAATATATTTTTTCTAGAAACCCTCTAAAGAAAAACTGCATTTTATTAAAGATAAAAAACTTGATTTAGTCAATAACAAATTTATAAAATATTCAAAGATTTGTATGATATAAAAAATCACCTGGACACATCAACAATAAAAGAGAAAAATAATAAGTATTTAAATGAATGAAAATAATTGTTTCACGTCAATAATCATTATAAATAAAATGAACAATTACAAAAATATTAACATTAACTGGGATTTTACTTTTGTATTCTTTGCTTATCAAATATTTTTATCAGGCTGTTATCTTTAACGCATTAGACATTTTTAAGAGTGTAATTAGTAGGATATAATGAACATTTTAGTACTTAGGTCAATATTGTTTTTAAAACAATAATTATAACTGCGGATTAAAGATATATTGAGCTGAGTTTTTAAACAAAATAAAAGGTTCTTAACTTGATTCAAAATTATTTAAAATGATTTTCATTTTTGTTTAGTTTCCTGTTTGTATACAGATAAGGAAAGTATATAACAAAGACCTTGATACTAGTCAGCTATTTTTGTTGAATCTAAATCTCGAGAACATTTTAATATCAATTTGATAAGATATAATTTTTGGCATAATATTCTGATTAGAGCCTGAGAGCTTTAGCTCGAGGGCTTTAATCAATTGATAATTAATGCCAAAATTATGACGAATCAAATTGTAAAATATTCGAGAAATTTAGCAACAACAAAAATTGCAGAATATTTGCGACGACTATTTCACTAGACCGAATATTGACCATTTCTCTAGAGAAATAGTCGCCGACATTTGTTCTAGGGAAAAAGTCATGATTATTTTTCGACCTCGAGCTATCGACGGATTTTTTACGTTTTGGGGTCCCCTGGATCCATTTTGATCATTTTCGCGATTTTTGTTCTATACATAATTTTCCTAAAATGGTCCTTATTCGAAAAATTTGACAAAAAGTGCAAAATTAGAATATTTAAGAAAATTGTTCAAATAAATATAATTCTTGCCCTATACATGATTTCTCTAAAATAGACACAGTAATGAAAAAATTTGAGGAAAAGTGTAAACATTTTATTTTTCAGTATTTTTGTTGGAAATGAATATACAGTGTGTCCAATTAAGTCGAAACTATATGGGAAACTATTTTATTCTTTGTTTTATGAAAAAGTAATTCTTTATAAAAAGTTCTGCATGGTCCAAAACTTAAAATTCAACCATCAGATGTCAATTATTTTAAACCATATACGAGGTCTGTCAAAAAATATGAATTTTACTCAAGAGTAAAGTACCATTATTATTTATACGACTGATAAAATTTGATATTTGATGGTTTTATTTTAGGTTTTAGACCATGCTCGACTTTTTATAAAGAATAATTTTTTTCCCTAAAATTAGTAATAAAAAAGCTGTCCCTATGCCACCAACTGTTTACGTAAATTGGCGGCATATGAAAAACTTTTTTGTTATTAATATTGGGAAAAAAGTTATTCTTTATAAAAGTCGAGCATGATCTAAAACCTAAAATATAAACATCATATATTAAATTATATCAGTCGTATAAAGCATAAAGGTACTTTACTCTTGAGTAAAATTCATATTTTCTAACAAACCTCGTATATGGCTTAAAAAAAATTGATATCTGATAGTTGCATTTTAAGTTTTGGACCATGCAGAACTTTTTATCAAGAATAAATTTTTTCACAAAAGTAATAATAAAAAAAGTTTTCCATATGGTTCCAACTTAAGTAGACATACTGTATATGAAAAATGTTTGGAGTAAGATGTCGTGGAAAATGTATAATAAATATTTACAAAGGTGATATGATAGGTTGTTCAAAATAACCGGAAAAGCCTGTAATAACTAGACAGGAAAGTTGTGTGCATCAGATTTTTAAATAAAGTAAAAAAAATGGGATTACTCTTTGTCACATAATGAAAAATATTTCAAAGCTTTTTTTTTAAGAATTATTAAAAAGTGCATACAAGTAATTTTTTAGAAAGCGATTTTTTTTTAAATACGTAAGTTTGTATTCTTATTGTTTATATTATTATTGTGCTAAAACAAATAGAAATATTTCAATTAAGATTTAATAAAAGACAATTTGACAAAGTACACAATGGAAATTTATAAGATTAGCTTATTTTTATCTCCATATTAATTCACACCTAAGTGTTAAATATCTTGATCTTTAACTGCTTGAACTTAGTAAATGATCTCAAGGTTAGGACCTATATTTTTAAAAGAAAGGGTAATATAGAGGATAAAAACGGAATTGTTAATAATAGATGATAGAATAGAAAAGTTACTAATTTCTCAAGCTGTAAATCTTTAAACAATCCTATTATATTTATAACTTAATTGGTGCTGTATAAAGACTAGTACAAGTTTTTGCAGCATAAATTAGAATTTATTAAGATAAGTTGCAATAAAGAATGCAAATGACTTGTAAACTTGCATCTCCGATATAAAAATCTAATAATTAAATAGTGGACACTTGCTAGAGACTTGATTTATGAAACTTACCTTGTTAGTGATTCCTTATAATCCAGGTCATCAATTCCAAATCTTTCTCTTATGTTTCTAAATACCATTGGGCAATACTCTTTTACTTTGAAATGGGAAGGCATATTTTCTCTAAAAGAAATCATGTTTGTTCAAACTAGATATTTACCCTGTTTTTTATGTCAATTTTGGAGCCAAATCAAAATATGTACCTAAATGAATTCAAACTTATACATCCCATACAAATTATACAATTCTTAATCAGTACCCTAAAGTGTTTGTTTTTTACATTTAATTTGTTACAAATTAATTTTGTAAATGTTTACCTAGAATTTGGTTAGACCATAAAATACACTGTAATATTAGGTCTTTTCCTTTGTTTTGAAAGTGTAGCACTGAGCTATGCCACTTTTGAAAATATGGTTGCATTTATACAAATTGTATGGATGGAATGATATTTTCAGAAGTGGCGTAGCTCAGTGCTACACTTTCAATGCAAAGGAAAAGACCTCATATCAGTAGTATGTCTTAATTTTCTTTAGAAATTGATATACCTAAGTAAGAACCTCAGTGAGAACTTTTAAATCAAAATTGACTGGCACTGTTATTAGATATTCTTAATACACTAAATACCTGTTTTTTTATTTTTTTGAATATCAAATAGTTTAAAGACAATACTCTAAGAAAATAAATGTGTATAGGCCACTGCTTTAAACTTATTCATTGTGTATTTTATCAATTTTAATATTTAATTTAAGTAAATTTTAAATCTATATATCCACAATAACTATGTATCAACATTTGTCTCATCCTTAAAAGCAAAACCCCAATAAATTAAAACTTATTATTTAAAAAATAAAAACAGCAATATTTTAATTTGGCATTATAAAATCCATTTTAATTTTTAATATTTTATAAACTTGAAATGTATATTCATTAATCTCAAATATTTGACCATGAGAATATTTTATGTAAAACATTGATTTTATTTTTTTTACAACATTAATTTGTTACTTGTTGTGTCGCTTCACTTTTATAAAGCATTAAAAATGTAGGGAGTTTGTTTTAAATGAATATAAATTGATTTATTTACTTGTTAAAGAGATGATTATCAATTTTAATCTTGGAATAAGCCCTGAAATCGTCAGGCAAAAGCATCACTGGAATAGTAACGTGCATAAGTTCATTAATCTAAAAAATAATAAACAATTAACAGACTGCACAGGATGTGTTTAGTAAACAGAAACTCACTGTATGGTTGATACCCCACATAAAGACAGACAAAAAAGGCTCATTGGCTCTGAACAATTTTACTTTTTGATGTTTTACACGAAAATGTTTCTTTTTTAATTTAGAAAGGCCCTGCTGAACACTACTCATTTTGACAGTTAATTTTTTTTCAGACAACTATCGTACTTAAATTACAAGCTCAGTTTCATTTTAGCATCACTAAAAAACACGATACTGGTTGTTTTATTTAATTTTTTTGTAGTCTATTAGTGTATGAACTGTTTCTGCAGCACTTAATTGAATACAATTTTACACATCATTCCGAATAAATTAAGGTATATCACATTCGACACTCACACAACACACACCTTCATTGATTACTTCCCGCAGTGTTGATAAATATAAATTTTGGAACTACACGGTGTTGCCATTTTGCCAATTAGTCAATTTAGTAATATTAGGCATTTTCGACGATTGTGATCAAATTCCATACTTTTAAAAAAATGTATTTTTTATTTGATGTAAAATGTTAAACGAAGTTTAAATTGCTAAGGGTCGATTCCACCGTTGTATTAAACGACGTTTAAATTACTAAACGAAGATTAAAATAACTTAAGTCATGTATTTTCTAAATAACAAAAAAGTTTACTATAAAAATGGCTAAAAATGAATGTATTTTTATGTTGGCATTGACCTTGACAAACTGACATTAGTGACAGTTGATAGTGACATTAGTGACACTTTGACATTTGCGATTTTGTTTTTTACAAAAAATACCAAAACAAAAAGTTGTTTTTATACAAAGTCAATGAAATCGTTATTTTTAACACAAGTAGCACAACTTTCCGAAATAAGAATATAAATATAGTTTACAAACCTAACCGATATTCGTTTAATAACAACAACTTACAAATTTAGGTTAATGTGTTTTCTCCTAATTTGATCAATACTTTTTGTTGACTATCATATTTATAAGTAAATTCCATAAATTTGCGTGAAACACTCCTTTTAATTACGTCAACATGTAAAAAATAGATGTCGCATTTAGCCCTGGAAAATATAGCACACGCAATTTGAAAGATTGATTACCTAGGGAGCCTTCAGAGCTAAACACCATTTTATAATTAGTCTTATTTTAACAGAAGATAACAATGGTAAGAGTGATTTCAGTGCATCATTTTGCAAATCAACACATCCAAGTAGTAGAACAGCCAACAGCATGTACAGTTGCACCTCCAAATCGGTTGCTTTCAGCCCTTATGAATAATTGTGTAGAAGTTAGGGATTTAAGTAATGATTCTGAGATAATATTTTCTTTTCCTACTGTGGATGAAGTTGTTCAAATAGTTCACTGTCTAAATGGTAAGTAATATACACTGTATCAGAGCAGAGGCAGCTCGAGGCCTAGTCTACAAGGAGGCTAGCACATCCTATATACTTAATACAAATATATATTTCTATTAGAATACAATATAATATTTCTGCTTTTTGTATTCTAATAGAAATATATATTTGTGTTAAGTATATGTAGGGTGTGCCTTTCAATAGTAGTCTCCTCGTAGACTAGGCCATGAGCCACCTCTGTACTGTATAGTCTAAGAATTATACTAAAATTACTAAATTTGAATTCCAGGTGACTATGTTGCTACTTTGGAAACAAAATTTAATCGCCAAAATAAAGAGATCAATTTTGTCCGAATTTATATTAATTGGGATAGCATTGCAACTTTACAGCAATCTAAAATGACAAGTAGTGGTGTAAGTCTTGGTTCTTCAGAATGTGGGATGGTCCAGCCCATGAGAGCTAGAATTGCAGGTAGAGTCACACCCACTACTAACCAGTCTGAACTAGGTAGTCTTGAGATGATCGAAGTACCAGTTAAGAGGAATCCAAATTTTGTTGAATGTTGTCAGGTAAATATACATTTTAGGCTTTGTTTCCAAGTATTATGTAAATTATTTGGTTATATCTTATGAGGCCATTTTCTTTGTCCATCAAACTGTTTAGATAAATGTAATTAGAAAAATAAGTTTACTTTGCTTTTGAGGTCACTACTACATTATTAGTAGATAATCTTGTAGTTTAGTGTCCTCACAATTGCTGTTACTATTCATTATGCATGACAATCAGAATAATTGTTACATAGTTGCCAGGGTTATGTAGTAATTTTTAAAATCTACTTAAAAGTGAATTTGATGCTGTCAAACATATATTTTCAAGGGATATGATTTTTTTTAAATAAATAAAAATATCCTTTAATTTTAGATTATTTTGATGTATTTTTTTGTGAAACACAGATTTTCTTTGCCCTCAAAATTAAAAGATAAAAAAACAAAAATGAACGGCAAAACAAAAATGAACATATGGGCAATGTGACAGGTGTAAATTTCAAATTCTAAATGTCAGTGCAGAGTGGAGCGGATATGCCCATTAATAGAACACTAAACTACAGGACTACCCATATGTTTATTTTAGTATTAATATTTTCTTTTTTCAACATGTTGGTCTACATAAATTACAAATTCCTTAAATTACTGTGTTAATAGTTATTTAAATTGAATAAATAGATTTTTTTTTATAAATTTTGTCTGAAATTGTCAAATTTTTTAATACAGTGGCTCATACTGTATTTTTTATTTTAGGTGTCTGGAAACCTATTAATACTTTCAGAAAAATTCATAAACATATATTCATTCCAAATTAAAACACATGATATTTCTAAAATGAGATTTGTCGATTTTGAGGAACTTCCCATTTTGATTGAACTGTCATTTAACCCTTATCAAGTGTCATTTTGTGAAAATTACATTGCTTGCATGAGTAAAGATGCTTTTTATCTATTTAGAATATCTGAAAGTGTTAAAAGGGAAAATAGCGAATTAAATTTATGCTGTGAAACAGATTTTAGCTACATTTGTAAGTATAATACACTCAATAATTAAAAGTGTAATTGACAATATCTGTATCTTTGTGATTTTAGACCCCAATAATGGCCCAATAGATTATAAAAAATTGTTAAAAGATGAACTGTTGAATGCATCCAAAGACAAAATAACTGTTAATTTACCCACTATAGTTAAAGAAAATAGTATAATTCACAAAAGTAGCCCATTTACATTTAGTGATAAAGATATATCTGGGATAATTAGATCAACTGCTATTGTAGAAGTAAGTGTATGCTTGATATATAGTTAAGGCAAGGCAGGGCAGCATATCTTTACCTGTAATATTGTTTTTCCCCATAAATAACATTACAAAATAATGGCAGCTAGGCACGACTTTTTTTTATTTTTTGAAACAGACTGTTTTGACTAAAATTTGTTGACTTATTTCAGATGTATATTAGGTAGGGTGATTTCTCCAGTTGTCGACCATATTTAAACGAACTTATGTTAGATTGCCAATAAAAATATGTGCAACAGTCAACCGGAATAAATTCAGTAGCTCAATTACTATTAATATTTATAAAAAATTCTGAAACACATCACTTTTAGATCATAAAATGGCATCCTGCAACTAAATTTGTAAGTAGGAAGTAGGGTTTGTCATGCCTCATTTGAAAGGTCTCTCATTCTCTATTCACAAATGCTGTGGTTTTAAAATTTATTTAAAAAATTAAGAGTAAAAAATAAATAAATTACTAATAGAGTTTTGTTCTTGATAATGTAAAAAAATAACAAAAATAATCTTAATTTAGGAGATTTATTTCATATATGGGAGAAACCTTAGACTCTTTCGACACTGAGGGTATGGTTTTAGTCCGAATGCAGGTATTTATAAGTACACTTAAAGGACGAGCCAGTGCTACAGCACAGTCTTTTAAAAGGAAAACAGGAATATGGTCTGGCCCAGTGGTCCGCTTGGCTTTACTGATTTTAAGGTATCTAATACTTGGTTTTTCTAAAAAGCTAGTAAAGTTTAAGTGATACATGTGGCTTTCGTTTATCAGGACATTTGTGGCTGAAGACTGCACATAAGATTTACTAAAAAAGGTAGCAAAGCCATTTAATATATCTGATGGATTAAGAAGAAAGTTACCTTGATAGATCATGCTCTTACCAACTTTATTGGAGGATTTTTTATTATTGATATAAGCCCAGAATTTTTAGAATTAATCGATATTTCTGATTCAGCTTTTTCAAGATATTATTTGTAGGCTCCATCGACATCAACTTTAACTTGTCTTCTTATGCGTCTAAGTTCCTCAAAAGCATGAATATAATTTTCTCTCTCACACTGTTGCCAGAGTTTGGATTTTTTGCGAATGAAAGCTGTCCAGTCCAGTCAATTTTGGAAATCATGTCATACAACATATATATCTGTTTATTTAGCAAAGCTAATAGTACATTACAAATAAATAAAATTACAAAAAATATTTATCTATATCTAAAATATAAAATATAACACTAAAATATCACAGATGCTGGCTCGTTAACATATAATCTCTTAGTTTATATTTAAAGGTATTAAATGAGGCGACATTTCGGAGTTCTAAGGGTATCTCATTAAAAGCTTGAAGTCCCTTAAAAAATATTGAATTTTGGGACTGTTTACGTGCAACTTGTGGAATATGAAAATTAGATCTATTTCTTGTGTTATAGTTATGATAGTCAAAGTTGTAATTGATTTTATCAAGTAAATAAGAGGGGACCAGTCCATGTTTAATTTTATAAATGAATATTAAAGTTAAGTACAGAAAATAGTTTTTAACAGAAAGCCATTTCAAATTTTGTAACATACCTAATATATTGGTCCTTCTATCACATGACAATAATATCCTCATTGCTCTATTTTGTAATTTCTGAAGTCTGTTGGTTTCATTCTGATTAAGTAAATACATAATGGTGGCACAATAAGTGAAATAAGGCAAAACTATACTGTTATATAAAAGAATCAATGACCATTTATTAATATATTTTGAGCACCGGTATAAGTAGTTGACTTTAAACGCTACTGTTTTAATGATATAGTTTGCATGATCTTTAAAAAACAACATATAGTCTACTATTACTCCCAGATATTTAATTTTTTTACGACTTCAATGACATCATTTTCAATACTAATTTTCATATTATTTTCAGTAAATTCATTGTAATACCTAACATTCCCGATAATCATAAATTTAGTTTTGTTAATATTTACTTTTAACGAATTAAAACAACACCAATAATATATTTGCTTTAATGTGGTATTTATAGTAGCGGTTACTTCCTGCAAATTATTAGCAGAATAATACAGCAGAGTATCATCTGCAAACATATGTATGGAGCAACCACCTGCAACTTGAGAAATATCATCAATATATAGAAGGAACAATAGTGGGCCCAATACACTCCCCTGTGGTACGCCTAATTCATTTTTTTGTTCTTTTGATAAAATGTTTTTAAACCTTAATTTTTGTTTTCTATTGTTCAGGTAATTTATAAGCCATTCTAGTGAATTTTCAATAATACCAAAACTTTTTAACTTTTTAATCAGTAGAGATCGATTTACCGTTTCAAATGCTCTTTGTAGGTCTAAAAAAAGAGCACCTGTAATTAACTTGTTGTCAAGATTCTGTTTCCAGTCATTTAATACATATTGTAGTGCAGTCTCGCAGCTGTGTTTACCCCGAAATCCTGATTGATTACTATTATACATATTATTTTCTTCCAAATATTCAATAAGTTGATTATATACTACTTTCTCTAAAATTTTTTCTACTGTACATAACATATTAATAGGACGTAAGTCCACTGCCCTATTTGAATTCTCAACCTTAGCTATTGGTGTTATTACACATTACGAAAGTTATGGCATTTTAAATTATTTTTATTATTCAGTTATTCTACTGATTTTAATGTAATGTCCAAAGCTGGATGATGACAATCTTCCTTTATCAACGGATCTACGGAATTTTCAACAAAACAGGAATTATTAAAGTACACTAGGTCTAGGCCTATTATTTTCATTAAAAACAAAGTTATTCTGTTTTAAATCAAAAACATTGCAAAATTGTTTAATGCATCTAATCTTGCATTCGACTGAGATTTGGCAAGAAACAGCATATTCCGATATATTGAAATCACCTAAAAATAAAATTTTATTTCCATAAAAATAATCCAAAGACTATAGCGACTCAAAAAGACATTTGTATTTCTCAAAAGGTGTTCTTGGTGGAATATATACAAATATACAATATACAAATAAGTAAGATTTAATCTAACTTTTATTAACAAGACGTCAGTGAAGCTAAATAGCGGCCAAGAGTACTGCTGCAAATCAATACGAGTAGAAATGTACTCGATCAACACCCCACTGCCTCGAGTTTTATCACTAACTGCAAGATTCCTATCGATTCTAAAAACATTAAAATCTGTAGTAAACAGTTCCGAATTATTGACAGACGAGTCCAACTAGGTTTCAGTAAAAATAAATATTTTGAAGTCAATTTGACAAATTCTATGGTTTTTGTTTTCATACCACAAGAATTTTGATAAAGTATTGATATTTCATTCTTACTTTTATTTATAGATTGTATAGATTTATATGAAGGTGTGTTTACGGGGGGGCAACAGAAAATTGTTAAAAATGCCATGCCTGGCAGCTTCCTAATCGTAAATAAAATTATCTTCCTAAATTAATCAACAGCTGAGGCGTGTTCAACGTAATTGCAAATGTTATTCTTCTTAAATCAGCTAAATCTCGTGGTGTATGTTTCCGTAGCATATTTTTCCCCATAAGAAAAAGTCTAATGGCGTAAGATCAGTTGCGGTTCATTCTATCGATCCTCGCCTTCCTATCCACTGATTTGGAAATATTTGTTCGAGATACTGCTGGACATTCTTTTGATAATATTGTAGTGTGCTCCATCCTGCTGGAACCATATCGCATTCGCTGGAACTTGTGGGTTTGGTTGACCAGGCTATACATTTGTCAAAGTTGGCACGACATTATTTTGGAGCAGTGTTAAATAATTATCTCTATTCAAATTGCCATCAATGAAAAAGGGACCAATGGCATGCTCAAACATCAACCTTTTCAGGATATTGTGTATATGATCTCATCCAGTGAGAATTTTCATAAGACTCCTATCGACATTTTGCTGCAATGCGGTATAAACTAGCACCACTGATATTATTCGTTTCCTGCTTGCGATAATCCTAACTATTTGTTGTTTCCACATGGACTTGTGGACAGCGTATTGGAAAACGTTCAGTGTCTGACACTATGTAAAAATCCTTTAAAAATCTATAGAACATTACCGGCGGTAATTTACCGCCTAGATGTAGAGACTGTTTGCTATGCTCACTTTAACAGATTAATAATATAATAAGTAGGAATTAGGCTGGAAAGATGATTGTTATGTTGGGGATGGAGTGTTAATACACTGTGACTTAAAAAATCTATTGTGACCCCTTCTGTCGCTAATGCAGCAAGGAAATGTCCCAATGCCTATAACGATCCTTCCAATCTTATCTTCTCAAGGAAGTGTAGGATTTGGAATGGCTTTGAGTTAGGTAAATCTCCTTCTATTTGATATGCTGCTAGGTATAGTGCCTTTGGATTCTGGAGTGCTACACATTCAGTTATAATGTGAATGGAGGTTTCGTACTCCTCCTCACAGAATCTGCACTCACTATCTTCTACTACTCCAGCTTACTAAGGTTCCCTTTTAGTCGGCAATGCCCAGTAAGGATCCCTATTACAATACGTAGCTTGTTCTTGCTCAGGCAGATGCAGGCTTCCGATCTTTTCTGGTTATATTCACCCAGAAGTATCTTAGCCTGTCTTAGCCCCAAGAGATTGTTCCAATTATCGGTTCTTCTACTGCTCAATTATTTTTTAATCTCTCCCAATATTATGTTACTGCTGATACCACAGAACGGCACAGGTCCCACAAATGGTGTTTCAGCCCTTTTCCTTGCGAGATTATCTGCAATCTCGTTACCCTGTACCCCGGGACCAAGGTGAGAGTAACTCTATTTTTCTCGCCTAGCTCATTCAATTTTTCTAGACATCTCCAGGCTATTTTTGAGCTGATTACGTAAGAGCTCAGTGCTTTGATGGCTGCTTGACATGATGATAATCTCTTGTCTACGATAGTTTCTCTCAATGTTAAACTGGATACACTTCTCGATGGCGCGAATTTCCGCCTGGAAGATGCTTGGGTATTTTCCTAATCTTTCGGAGTGCCTGGTTTTAGGACAATAGACTCATATTCCAGTTCCTTCTATGGTCTAAATAGCATGTCTTTTGGTTGCAAGAACGATGGACTCTTGTCTCCATTCTTTCTCGCGGCCCAGTTTTGGTGTTTTGAAGTTTTTCACAAAACTGTACTTCTTTCTCATTTCATCTTGGGGCATATCCCAAGTAAATGTAGAGAGGTGGGGTTTAAGATCACCTCCATTGCAGCCGTAGGACATGTTCTCATTGCACTGGTGATACAAACACAGGCTACTCTTTGTACTTTTGATATATTAGCTCTCGTAGTAGGTAAACTAGTTCTATTACTCCAGGCTATAGCCCCGTAAGTGATGATTGATCTCACTATACATCCATCGCAGTGTGTTAGTGATAGTTACTACTAACCAACCTTGTTATAAAGAGTTACAGAACGGTAGGAAATTTTGAGTATATATTATGTAAAAGAAAATGATGATAACTTGTGCAAACCGGCGAACTGGATAACTCATCCTGTGACGCATAGGTGAAGATAAGCTGCCCAATCTATTATAATTTTTCCAATAAAATCTTTTAGCTTCTCAATGACACAGTTTTATCGATATCCTCTTTTAGACCAAGAGTGTTCAATACAAAATTGAGAATCTAATACAATTAAGACTTTTATCGATTCTGATCGAAAGCGCTCAAAGGCAAGTGACAGAAGAATTCAAGAGCATGATTTTGCGACCTATATATATAGATCAAAGCTTAAATAAATCGTCATCAAAAGATTCCAATAAGAAATTCTTACACAGCGATTTTGATAAATGTCTTAATAGCGTCATGTGCATTGTTGCTACCCAGCAAGAGGGTTATTTATACCATTTTGATGACAATGGTAATATTATATTTTCATATATTCATTTTCATCTACTCCATATATTCATTCTATTATCATATATTCATTTTAATATATTCATTTTCATATGTTCTACTTTCATATATTCCATATTCTATTCCCTTTGTACCATTTTTTTTTATTTTAGTAACATGTGCTGATAGAGACAATTGCCTGGCTGTATACCCCTTCACAGCTCCAGTTTTTAAATTAGTTATGGAAGAATATTTATTGCACGCTTTAACTGAGACAGGCCTGGAGTCATATACGTTGAGATATGGGCATCAGTTGTGTAGGAACTTCGAACTTATTGATAATATAAATGTGGTTAGTCTCTTATATAATTAATATTTGTTCAATATAAACTACAAATTTTTTTTTTTATTTTTTTTATAAATATTATTTTTAGGCGTGTCCCTCAGTGTCTGAATCCATCTGCCTTGTGGGGTTGAGGCCCTTCTTGGGAGTTGAACAAATTTTACTAACAGAAAATCACATGATTCTTTTGGCCAATTCTGAAACATCACCTGCACATTCGGCTAGTTCGAACAGCAGTTCAAATGCATCGTTTCTAACGTTATATAATCTTGAACTTCCCTCGCCTAAAATGATTTTCAATGACATTTCTATTGTTGCCAATGTTCACAGGTACATACATATATTTTTTTTTTAATATATTTCTAATATCTTAAATAACGTCTAATTCTTCTAGATTTACATCGGTACAAACTTACTGCCATTTGATGAGTGAAGCCCATATGGTGCTCAGATTGACGCTTCTGTTAAAAAAATGGACAATGACTGATGATAATGTAAAGTTAATAATAGCTAAAAAGAGCAATAACGATGACGTTATTGAGACTTACAGAATTTCTTGTGCGCTTTTGGGTGATCATTTTGTCATGTAAGTCTAGGTAAAATAATATTTGGGTAATAAAAATTAAATGATTTACTTTTTTAGGTGCAGCAATGAGGATGATTACAGCTTAGCTGTACCGTACTACAAAATGGCTAGAGTACTACCAGCGGAAGTGTTGAAGAGGGTTAAAAAAATACAGGAGCAATCTGGAAATCATGTAATTTTTTTATTGTTTGTACTTCTGTTAAAAAAATACTATCCGACACAAACATCTTATTTCTTAACTACAAGGGTTTAATACTTATGTTGGTGAGCACGCTACACCCATACAATAAATGCCAATCAAAAAATACGCCATCGTTGTTTCTCAATATGACGCTTAATATCAATTGAATAAGTTCAAGATTCTTATTAATGAGTCGCTTACATAATACAGTTACAGTGCACGTAGTAAAAAGGTATAGACAAGATAAAAATTGACTATACTTTAATTTTTTTATTTATGTTTATTGATAGTACCGTTAGTTTATAGACATCTTGTTTGTTTTAAAACTAGTACTTACTTAATCCATAAATTCTTTGTTTTTGACTTTACTTTTTTATTGATATTTTCTGTTTCATTGTCCTCTTTTGTTGCCAATATGTGACCTTGTCGTTGTCAAAATCTGATTTTTTTTAACATTGGCATTAGATATAAGGTAAGTGGGATGATCTTATCGTCTTCCACTGCGACGCAGATGGATCTATTGTGGCTCATGTCTATCTTAATGTTCACTGTACAAACCGTATTTTTTATTAAGTCCATGGTTGTTGGATGACTTGTTTAAGGGGCTCCAGTCGGGCGAATCTGAAGATCTTGAACCTAGTTCTTTCCAAAACGAAGCAGGTACATAGAATGTGACCTATCCTTCTGACCTATCCTTCCAATGTGCCGTCATCAATTCAGTGACAATCCGTAGATCGTTTCTACTCCATTCCCGGTTCTGAACAGATGGGCTTATGAGAGGGTTTGGTATTAGCGTCTTCAAATTAATTAGCCCTAGGGCATCTGTCCAGTTTATGAGTGTTACATTCTCTGTCCATTTTGACAGAGCTCGTTGCAATGCCAAGGAATGGTTCTGGTCCTCTTAACTCGGATTCAGTTAATCTTTTAGAGAGCGCGTCGGCGTTTTCATTGTCCTCCACACCACTGTGTACCCGAACCCAGATCAAAGTAATTTTGTGCAGCGAGGCGCTCCAGGATGTTTAGATAGTTCCAAATCAGATTTGAGTTAACTCGGTTGAAGCTCAGGGCTTTAAGGGTTGTCTGGCTATTCGGAAAAATCTTTATAGTCTTCGTAGAGGGGAGAACATTTTCTGCTTGGAAAATCATGGGCAGAGTGCCCAGGTTTATTGATATGTCAACTTTAAACTTCTGGCCGATAACTCCCGCTTCTATTACTTCTTCAGTTTTGTACAGAGCATAGTCTGCCTGAGACAGGGTTGGATTCCCCCTGCTGCCTACGTCTCGTTCTGGACTGAGAACGCTATATGATTTTTTATGTTATGTCGGGAACTAGCGAGTCTCAGCAGACCACGCCAAGAATATGGTGGTTATTAATTTTAGTCCCATCGCAGATCTTCCTCGCATTGGCATCAAAACATGTGTCTCTGGCAACTACAAAACCATTTTATCTCAATACGAGTACTTATCTTCTTTAATATTGAAATAACAAATAAGTTGAAATGTTGTCGGACCAGTACCTGTTTTTGACTGACAAAAATATTTTTTGCATTATTTTTAGTCTACAAAGGGCTTAATGTTCTATCTTAAAAACACATTATTGGACGTTAAAGCTGGACCGGACGCAGATAAAATATTTGGTTCTACGTCGAAACAAAACTTTTCAGAATCGATCTTGGTTTTATTAGAACATCACAGTTACGAGGATCTTCCAAATTTGATATTGAAAAGCAAAATATTTAGAGAGTACTCCACGGATAAACTGATTTGTATTTTGAACGAAAAAATGTCTGAGTAAGTTACAAATAATTGTAATTCAATTATCAAGTAACGCTAACAACATAATGTATTATTTTTTAGCAATTTTCCAAAAACGTCTGAAAAACATTTAGCCCTAACTCTTCTCTACATTCTTAAATGCAATTCATCAAAAGCACAAGATCATTTAGACAAAATCACGAGGGATAATTTGTGTTGGCTTATTTTGGATAATTACGATTTATTATTCGAAACCACTTATTGTCCCCAAAATAGAAATAAGAGCGTAACCACTTTTTCGGAACTGACCATTTTGCTTATCGGTATATGCCCGGAATTGTTGTCCTCTATCTTCGTAAATCTCATAATGGATAAGAAGGTCATTAATTTGAGCAAGATTATCAAGGTAGGTGTAAATGTAAATGTGTTACAATAGTTACATTAGTGATTATGTACAAATTAGCTATTATATATCTAATTTTTGAACCGTCATTATTTCATTTAAGTGTATTATTTAGTTCTTAAAATATATTCCTAAAGTAAGTAGATAATATTTTAGGTAAGTTATCGATTAAAAATAAATTTTGTAAAGCAATAAATGAGTAGAGGTTAGGTGTCAATTTATAATTTATTTCTACGATTTTATTCATTTAAAAGCATACTTTATCTATTATAAATTGAATAAATTTACTTTTAACCGAATTTATAGGGTTCATTCAAATTTTTATAAAAAGAAAATACAAAATAAATATCAAACCCCGTATTTAGTGTACAGTAGAACAAAGCAAATACATTTACGTCGCTTAGAGAGAAATCAATAATTTATTGTCCGCTTGGTCAAATATCACATTCAATTTTTGTTCGTATTCTAAAAAGTTGGTTGTAAAAACCAGTAACGCACTTGATATGTAAATAGTTGTAATTAGGAGTCGCGCAGGTTTTCGAGTTTTGTGATTTGTGTAATTATTATAAGTATTAGGTATTATATTGAATTTGTGGACGATAAATAATATTTAATAACAATGGCACTATGGAGGCCAAGTGAAAATGAAGGTGTAATATTGCGAGGAGACTATTTTTTTTATTAATACTAACTGAACAACTTAACTCAAACTCAGTTTATTTGGAAATTAGTAGCAACATTTCTTCTCAGTCTCAAATCTCGACACTGAATAATCTCACATCTTCTTCACCCTTTGCCTGCCGCACTGTTACGTCACTCGTCAGGGGCGCTTCATGTACCGCCCAAATCAATTCAAAGGGCAATGTATAGTTTTGAATATATTTAAATGTTTAGAAATAGAAAATGGACCGAAATCATATAGTGAAATAAAAGAATTTCACAACTTACTAATTTGAATTATTTTAGCATATCGTCAGTGTAAAATTAGGAAAGTACGTAACTCCATTTAGGAAAATTTTACAATAGCGCCAAAAAACTAATTTAAATTAGAACCCCTGAACTTATGGTAACGGAATTTGTTTTTATGAAAATTAATATAAATTGGATGAATAATAAAATAATCGTTTCTCAGATGGAAAATCTGCCATTTTGGTACTAAATGGAGCTATAATCCGCATTTCAGGAAAAAGTGGAGTTACGCATTTTGCTATTTACAATAACAATATATAGAATTGTCAAAGAAAGACGTTGATCATACAGAAAATAGGTAAATATATCATAATAAAAAACGGGTCAATAAGTTCACAAAAAACTTTATTTGTAGAACAATTTATTCTCTATATGCAGAAAACAAGGTACCAACAAAAATTAAAAGAATATCCTGATTTAACTGTGTTTATAAACATTAAATTACATTAGTTTTATTGACCTGTGGGTTTAATCATAAAAAAATAGACAAACTAATGGTCGTAATGGAATCTTCATAGCTAATTCGGTGACAGCAAGATTATATTTGTATTCAATAATAGGATAGATATATTGTGTACTTTGATGAATATTGGTTTGGAAGACTCCTTATGGCTGGGTAGATAATACTCTAAATTGCCCTTTCCAGAGGAAAACGGATTATAATATTCAACGCCAGGAAGTTCTGTAAATAATAGGTTTTTACTCTCTGCTATTAAAGATTGAACAGCAGACTATCACGAAGACATGACATTCACATTATTTGAAAAATTCAATAATCCTTATAGACCGTGCATCCTATCATTCACGTCAGCTAAATAAAATACCAACCACGTCAACCAGAAAAGCAAATATTAAGCTATTACATAGCTTTTATCTCGGGCTTTGAGCGCGACGACCGAATCAAGAAAAAAAAAACGAAACCGTAACGAAAAAAAACCTAACACCCCCCACTCCGACCGGCACAGCGGTGCGGCGTTAAACAATATTAACTTCTCATTTATTCAATAAAAGAAAATTGAAAAACCGAAAAATCGAAAAACCGAAAAATCGAAAAAGAAATTCCGTAACGAAAATAAACCTAACACCTCCCACTCCGACCGGCACAGCGATGCAGCGTTGAAAGCCGTGCATCGTCGTTTCAGTTCGGCAGACTTCGGCACGGTGTTTGTGTGCGTGCGACTAGACGTATGCGTGTAGGCTTAGACACAATTTCGGAAAAATTGAATTTGAAAATGAATAATGATCCACAAGAATCCACAACAAAATATGGGACCACCATTGACGCGGTATTTTCCAGATATTTAGAGTATATCAAGTCTCAAACTTATGTTTCTTATTTCAGTTATCATAGACCTATAGTTTCAATGATAAAAATTTTTGAATAACCTACATGTATTGTAAGATAATAAAAATATTTTAAACAATATTAACTTCTCATTTATTCAATAAAAGAAAAAAATTTGTTTTCTTATCGGTCACCACGCTCAAAAAGTGTAACTTGAATTAATATCAAAGAAAAAAAAATACTGCATAAATAAAATAAATAAATAATTTTAATTGCATAAGTTGATAAAAAATGCTATGCAATAGCTTTACCACGGCATTCCCCGAGTGCCACACGTATTTTTTTTATTATTTATGAACATAAAAGGCAGTGGCGGCTTGTGAAATATAGTTTACTGCGGGCATCTGCAGACTCAGAAATAATTACTTAGAAAAAAAAAATATTACATAATTGTTTCATAGCGATCTTCGTCTTAATCCGCGCTGAAATTCTCATTTTGTTGAACATTGCAATCAACCCCCTACTTTGGCGCGTCGTAGAGCGGGAACTATTGGTTTCCGACAAAAAATGGTGTATGATTTTGTCCTGTACATATTTCATTTGAACTTTTTTTCGATAGCACTTACCACAACGGCGCTATTTCACGAAATGCGTCGCGACGCATGGTTTTCATCCCTCCACCCCTTGAGCGGCAAGCCCTCGAGGTCGCACACTTAGGTGTATTATCAGGGGACCCATGTCTACCTTCCCACCAAATTTCATTTCTTTCCGACCTTTTGCGAATAGACCCCCTTATTCTTTACCCACCGCTTGGACTAAGCACAGATCATATAATTAAAATTGAAAATAAGTATGTAATTGTACCACAAATGCAACTGGTTATCAAGTTTGATTACTTATATGCATAGTTTTTAATTTTTTTTAACCTATAATATTTTTGCTTCAGTTACAGTTGTAGAAAGAAATAATGTTCTTTTTTATTGATTCACCCACTTTACAAAGAAATTATTAAACTTTTCTACTTCATGCTTACTACTACATTCCCTTTGTTATTTATATTGAATTTTGTTTTCTTACTGGATTCAATAGGTAATATCCTTCCTCCATGGGTAAAATTTATTAAATTAATTTACCTATATTATGTCTACATTTTTGATAAAGTAATACTCGCGATATGAGAAGTAGAGTATTTAAAATCCATTATTTGAAATTCTACATAATAATTAGTTTTGGTGGGTATTAGGATAGTTAAATTTATTTTAGGTTAATTCAAACTTAATTCAAACATTACTTTCTTGCAAAACTCAAGATGAAATGGCAACTGTACAATGTTTAGAATGTAAAATGTTTTATAACGGGTATGAAATCGGTACGGCCATGGATATCGGACGATAAGTTTTTTGTTAACATATTCAATTCATAATAGATAAAGTTATACTACTACAATAACTACAATAAAAAATGTTAGTTACATACCTTTAAACTACTTTTGTACGATATATCAGATATCATCATTGAAATCAACATGAAAAATAATAAAACTAACAGTTATTATGTTTTAATTATTGAAGCCTAATTTAAAAATATTTGTTAGATAAAATCATCTCATTTCATTTTTTACCAATACATTAGATCTTGCTTCAGTGATGTTAAATTCGTATTTATTCATAGGTGTTTTTGGAATATTTGCCATCGAGCATAAGCAGCGATAGCAGCTGTGCAAGATTGGTTCTTCAAAAAACCATAGAAATGTATTTCGAACGATATTTTTCAAAGCCAGAAAATATCGATTTAACTAAAGTTGTATACGAAAGAGGTGCTAGCGAGGCTTTGAAACTTCTAGTCAGATCTTATCTTTCCGAGTTACAAATACAGCAGATAAGAGACGAAAGTATCAAAGATGGAAGGAATATAAAGTAAGCAAACACAATAATATATTATGTACATATTAATATGTTGAATCGTTTTTTAGTTGTAATCGAAATATGGAAAAGGAGGTATATGAAGATGAAAACGACGACACCAACAAAGACAGGCATCAAGAAAAATTGGGCTACAATCGGATAAATAAAACCTATTTCGAAGAACAAGTTAAAAAACCCAAAGATTCCTATCTGTTTTCGAGTCTCCGTTACGAATATTTAGATAAAATGCCGCCGTTTCAAATAGAGATTACCTCGAAATTGTATGAGGCTTGCATCGAAGATTACCCCGCCAAAGAACAGGGTGGACCCAATGAAAAAGCTGATATTATTTTAAAAAAATTGCAGGCTTTGCTGTGTAGCCAAGTTGTCCCTAAACAAGTTATAATTGAGGTAAGTTTTGTTTTAAGTTGAATAAAAGTATGTCACACCTTCTAACTGATTTTGTTGCTGCTATAGGTTAATGGTTATCTATCTGTTAATGAAACACTTAGAGGCAACGAAAGTTTGCAGTCAATTACAATGTTGACCAACGATGCTACTTTATTATTAATAGACTCGTGTCCACAGTGTCTTCTTCAATTTGGCAAGGTTGGTTAACTTTCATCAATTGTCATTAACGGTTGTTTCATTATTATTATTATTATTATTATTTTTTTAACTACAGGATAGGTTTACCAGAACCGATGAATGGAAGTTCTTAATAGCCACCGTACAACGAAGAATTTTGAAGTTATCCCAAACAGAAAACGTTAGAAGAGTGTGCTTTTTCCACAAGAAGATTTTAAAAGGTTTGCTTTCATCTCTATTAGTGACTCTAATAGTTGACATCTGTCACCAAAATTGTATAAAGAGGCTCATTAGTTAAAATTAGAGTTACTTTCTATAATTCTGGAACTGTAATTATTAACAAGAACTTTATTATTTTTTTCAGATATTTTGACTTATGTGGCCTCTAACATGACCCTCGACCAATTAATACAAGTATTTCCTCAGCGATTTAGCACAAACCATCGAGATTCTAATCACAAAGAATCTGCCGAGATTTCGCCGAAATTTAAAGATTCGCATGAAAAATCCGAGTTTGCTTATAGCGACGAAGATCTCGATATATTAAGGGAAATACAAAACTACGAACCTTTTGTCACTATTTGCAAGGAAACCATGCACGCTAACCAAATAAATAAACTTATTACCACAACTGGGCAGCAGTTGTTGTGTTCACTTAATTTGTAATAACCTATAACACCGTATTTTGATTCTTTTGGAAAAAGTTTTATTAAATGAATAAAGGTCAACTATTGGTTAATGTTAGTACATAGAAATGCCGCGTTTGAGAATCCACATCGGATGCATTTTTTACATTTCGACGTTTTTTTTATCCACATCGGACACATCTGTCCCATTAGATTTACGTATACTGAATCACGTGATCAAAGATTTACTACATCTCAGATGCATCCGATGTGGATTCTCAAACGCGGCAAAAATGTGTCACGACGAGGGCTATGGTCACGACACTGTTTTGAATATGCATATTTTGACATTTGATATGGGTAAAAATCTGACAGAAGAAAAGTGACATTTAACATCTAATAGGTACCAAGTGTATTTCTGAATTTGGTTAAAAAAGTACCTGTTAAATTAAACATTTTATGTTTTTTAACGACCTGGTTTTCTGATAAATAATTAAATTTTGGTTGTCAAGTGATATTTACTCATATAATAATAATAATTAGCAAATAAGTCATATTGACAACTTAGTACAATATGTGTGGTCGCTTTTTAGACATAAAAATTGCCTTTTATCCAGTTTTTTATTATTGTTTAGGACATTTGAATCGACTGCTTCTTAGGAAAGAGATTATTATGTATAGGTATATATTTTTTTTTATTTAAAAATAGATAAAATTTGACTAGATTTATATCAAAGGAAAAACGGTTTGACAAGAATTCATAATCAAAAACTTCAATATTTAATAAAAAATATATTTAAAGAGAACTATTCGAGTTTCGTTAATTTTTTTAAACTATTTTTGAATCAATTGAAATTTTATTGTTAAGAAAAACAGTTGAATCTTTTTATATGTTTATAGATGCTTTTATGATTGTGATATTACTTTTAAATAAAATATATAATATAAATGTTTTATGTAAATGAATGTTTTATTTTTAGTTTTGATTCCACTCCCAAAAAAAATAAGTAATCAATTTATAGTATATTACATAACTGTAAATCACCGGCGGATCTAAGGGAGGGGCAATGCTTAATAGTTGATGTCGTTGACATCTAATAAAAAAAAATTGCCCATGCTTACGAACCGAGACAATTGACCTCTACCTCCTAGGAAAGGTTCTGGATCCGCCCTTGGTGGAAATTGATATATTTCTCAGGAGTGGATGTTCACAAAATAAATAATTTATACCTATGTAAATAAATGAAGTTTTAATTTATTAAAGGTGCGTTCTTTTTCTTGATTAACAAAAGAAATTGATAAAAAAGGAATTTATGCAATCCGTTTTACAGATACGTCATTTACATACTTACCGAGATACTTTAGGTTCTTTCGTTCGCTGTTGATGCGCCAGTGTCAATTACACCACCTTATTTACCTAGTTTACTTCCTCCTTATTCCTTATACACATGTCGAGTGTAATTCACTCCTACTAAATAGTTGGTGGAGAAAATATCCGCGAGTGGACACCACATCGCCGACAGAAAGGTGTAGTGGATTTTACACCCGGCTAAACGAAAGGTTTAGTGTCCGTTGGTGCCCATACACGATTGCTCCATCACCAGTGTTACCAGATGATCAAAATCAAATTGTACAATGCTGTAGACATTATCGTTTTTTTCATGATTTATTCGTACAAAACTGACCTTATTGTGACGTTATCGGAGGAAGGTTAATTTAAGAGTTTATGGGTTTAGGGTGATTTGTTAATAATTTTATTGAATAAACATAAAAAAATCAAAAGAAAAAATAACACTTATTTAACCTATTCTTGTTCAGCTAAAGTTTAAAAAATAATTTCATCTTGTAATCCTTTCTGATTTTGGTCTTCCAATAATTGTTTCTGTATATACAAATATACATTTTTAAAGATCTCATGAATATTATAATTTCATCTGTAGGTTTAAAACTTACATCCATTTTGCAAAATGGACCCCGCACTTTCCTTATGTAAAGTGGCGACCGGTAACATTTTCTGAAACTTTGGTATATTATTGTACTCAACCTGATAACCAAAAGTGTGTCAATTGGCTCAACTCAATCCTATGACTTGTTCCCGATATAATAATAATACTCTCCCTAATTCACCCCCTTACGAGTGAATTTTAACCCCAAAAGCTGCCCAGACAGCACACCAAATCCCAGAGATATCCACAGAATATCTTTTGTGGATATCCAATATATCCACAGGATATCAGAAATATTCCGTGGATCTAATATGGATATCCAAATGTCCGTCTATATCCAGAATATAGAAGATATCCTAATGGATATTCAGCAAAATATCTAATGGGTATCTTCCAGAAAATACAAGAAATCCCAGAGATATCCACAGAAAATATTTTGTGGATATTCAATATATCCAATATGGATATCCAACCAAATGTCCGTCTCAATGAACTGGAGTGGGGTAGAAAGCCAATGTGCATATTGTATCAATAGAACAATATGCGACTCTATGGGCGCAGCCATTTTTATTTCTCATCTCACTCGGGAGTATTTATAATAACCATTTTCTGTTTCACTTTGTTATTGTTCAATCCACATGCTGGTGGATCAGGCAATAACAAAGTGAAATAGAAAATGGTTGTTATAAATACTCCAGAGTGAGATGAAAAATAACCTGTCTTTGCCCATAGAGTCGCATGTCAAGCCTTTTGACAAGCATTCTACCCCACTCCAGTTCATTGGTCCGTCTATATCCCAGGATATAGAAGATATTCGGATATTCAGCAAAATATTTTATGGGTATCTTTAATAGAGGTTCATAAGTAGCCAATGATTATTGAATAACGTCGAAAGAAAATAGCAGAGATAAAAAATATTTTCAACACTCAAAATATTTTCAACACTCTGCCTTTGATTTTGCCCACTAAGGAGAAAGTCATCCTTATTAGGACTCTTCAGCAATAAATGAAAATTCTCGACTCCAGTCTCTAATGGAGTGATTAGGACACACATTTCGATCGAACTCAATTACGGCGGGTCGAGCATGAGTAGATGTGATAGTGGTATCGCCATCTATACTTAGTAAGCAGAATCAAATAACATCTAGTGGATATCCACGATGGTTTGCGTTCGCGCCTAGACTTTGATATATTTAGTGGATGTTCATGGGATATTGAATACACCTTAAAAAAATTAATTTTAAATATCTGAACGGTACTATTAGCCACAATGGCGTAATTTTTTAATAATTTGCTATATAATTACTATTATTTATGGAAATTTGCATGTCTATAAATTACATTTCATGGATATAAAATAGATATCTACCATGGACTGGACATTCAGTGGATATTGGGATATTCAGTAGATATCCAAAGGATTTGGTGTGCTGTCTGGGTGAGGTTGTCCGGGGAAAGGGACGGTTATTATTATTTGCCGTGGCACTCCGGGGCGACTTAAAGATGATTGATGGTGCTATTTGACTTACAGGTGAGGAAAACCCCACCCACCACCATCGAAAACGGTAACGTATGGCGATTTTTAATAATCTGGATGACAAATCAACAGAAATTAAATTTCTGCTAATACGGCATTCATCAAATCCTATAGAGAACCATGCAAATAAATTCACATGGTCTTTCGTAGTCGACAGAGTGTTAACCCTGGCAGACCGGACTTTTAATTTCTGCACCAACATTTTTTTTAATGCCAAGTTTTAGTTACAGGACCTTTAAGAAGTATTACAATTTTTTTTTAAGTCGTTCCCTTCTGGAGGTAGGCAAATGTACACAATTGTACACATCAGGTTTCAAGTATTATTGTAAAATAATTTTTTTCAAAGATTAAATTTTTCATATTTATTAGCAAAATAAACATCGATGTTGACAAATTAACGAAATGTAAACATAATCATTATTTTGAGTGAAAAGCCATAAAATAGTCTTTACCTTTGGATAAACTAATTCAAATTGTACTTTTGGCATTTTGATTTTGATGTGAATTTGATAAATTTACATCTGCTTGGTTGCTTTGGTCATCATCCCAGACAGCACACCAAATCCTTTGGATATCTACTGGACATCCCAATATCCACTGAATGTTCAGTCCATGGTGGATATCTATTTTATATCTATGAGATGTAATTTATAGACATGCAAATGCCCGTAAATAATAATAATAATTATAAAGCAAATTATTAAAAAATTACGCCATTGTGGCTAATAGTACCGTTCAGATATTTAAAATTATTTTTTTTAAGGTGTATTCAATATCCCATGGACATCCACTAAATATATCAAAGTCTAGGCGCGAACGCAAACCATGGTGGATATCCACTAGATGTAATTTTTGATTTTGCCCACTAAGAAGAAAGTCATTCTTGGACCGGTTTCGTTCTCATTAGGACTAGAATTATTTCCTTTTTTAAGAGTAGCCCGCCTGGCTTTTATTCCACCTAGTCTGGTACTACAGCGACCTTTGATTTTGCTTACTAACTATATATGGCGATACCACTTTCGCTCGTTGAATATCTACTAATACTCAACCCGCCGTAATTGAGTTCGACGATCAAAATTGGTATTGCAATCAGACTCCATTAGAGACTGGAGTCGAGAATTTCTATTTATTGCAGAAGAGTCCTAATAAGGACGAAAACGGCCCAAGAATAACTTTCTCCTTAGTGGGCAAAATCTTATTATTTGATGTATTTTACATCTGTCACATTTGAGTTTGGAATTATTTCCTCTTTTATCTATAGGATATATCCATTGGTTACTTATGAACCTTTACTTAAGATACCCATAAAATATTTTGCTGAATATCCATAGAATATCTTCTATATCCTGGATATAGACGGACATTTGGATATCCATATTAGATCCACTGGATATCTATAATATCTTGTGGATATATTGGATATCCACAAAATATATTCTGTGGATATCTCTGGGATTTCTTGTATTGTATGGGAGATACCCATTAGAAATTTGGCTGGATATCCATAGGATATCTACTATATTCTGGATATAGACGGACATTTGGATATCCATATTAGATCCACGGGATATTTCTGATATCCTGTGGATATATTGGATATCCACAAAAAAAATTCTGTGGATATCTCTGGGATTTGGTGTGTCTGGGAAGAAGGGGGAGATGATTAAGATCAACACCATTAAATTGAATTTTAGTAAACGAGTTTCCTCACGACATCTGAATGACAGGTTTACATGGTACTATTCAATAATCATTGGCTACTTATGAACCTCTATTAAAGATACCCATAAAATATTTTTCTGATTATCCGAATATCTTCTATATCCTGGGATATAGACGGACATTTGATTGGATATCCATATTGGATATCCACAAAATATATTCTGTGGATATCTCTGGGATTTCTTGTATTGCATGGGAGATACCCATTAGAAATTTTGCTGGATATCCATAGGATATCTACTATATTCTGAATATAGACGGACATTTGGATATCCATATTAGATCCACGGGATATTTCTGATATCCTGTAGATATATTGGATATCCACAAAAAAAATTCTGTGGATATCTCTGGGATTTGGTGTGTCTGGGAAGAAGAGGGAGATGATTAAGATCAACACCATTAAATTGAATTTTAGTAAACGAGTTTCCTCACGACGTCTCTGAATGACAGGTTTACATGGTGAAGCCGAGGTAGAAGGACGTCTTTTGTCCATTTACTTGAGCTTATTAATTTGAGATTATTAATATTTATAGACATTACAATCAATGTACAAGTTTTTATCACAAATTAATGAGCTTTTATTAATTATATACTATCCATACATATCGCACCGACCGAGACTCGTTGTACACTATTGTACCAAAATTCGGATAATTATATGGACATTAGAAAATTTGTTAAGATAATAAAAGACTCAGTGTCTACCTATACACACTGACTGCACAGGAGCAAGGCTTAAATTTTCATAGCTCTCTTGTATGTAAAAATTCCTTATCTGACTTCCCCAATACGTAAAATTGAGGACGCTACAACTTTTAGCCCCACCATACTGCCAAAACATTCTTATAAACATGTTTAAAAGAAACATTCAAGTAACTTCTTCTCAACATAATTATCCTACTAGAGGTAATTACACTTACCTTTCAATGACCTCAAAGACTATTGGTCAACGCTGTACGAATTACTTCGCACCAAGATTATCCAATATGTTACCAGACTACATTAGGGATATTAATAAACTTTCACGTTACAAATATTCTATAAAAACTGGATATCAAGTAAAACAGATGTTATGTTTAATGACCTAATTGATTTAAGATACCTAAAATCATTTAAGTGTAACAAATTTTCCACTTGGACAATTTCAAAAAACCCATATAAAAAAAAAAAACAAAAAATGAAATATGTATGATCCGATCATGACTTAACTACCGACTTAACTCCTGAATATATCCATATCTCCCCAGTACTTATTTCATATTTATATATATTTTTTTCTTTAAATAAACATTATTATTAGTATAACAAAAGGAGATATATGGAAGTTATAAATAGAGATGGATCCAATATTTTTTTATTAAAAATAGTATGGGTAGATAACATAATACATTTTAATTTTATATTTATATAAATTGGTTTTTCATTGCACTGGGCTACAGTCCCACACCTCTACAGCCCTTACAGAAAAATCGCCACTGTTACTGTCAAATATTGTTCGAAAAAGACGAATTTCTGTACTTACGGACAATAAAAAAAAAGAAGTTGATTCAGGTGTTTAGTTTACTTATTTTATTAAAATCTTTTTAAAATTACGATTAATAATAAAATTATTGATATTAAAACATAAAATAAAGGTAAATAAATTTTAATGTACAGAATATTACACTGGTATAAATAATTTAAAATACAATCCTAAGCTAAATTATTATTATAAAGAAAATTTTGAATAAAATATAAAATGCGTACTTGAATGAAAGTGAATTTCATTTAAAGAATATTCCGAATGAATTCTAGATATAATTATTACAAAACTGAATTAGAAATAATTACCACAATATACAATTAATATGGATTATATACAGCGTGTATGTACAATAATATATATCACTGGTGTTACATTGGTCCTAAATATTTCTATGAATATAGGTATGTATATTTTTCCCCAGCATTGCCTATTATAAACAAATTTTTAGGTAAAAATTCTAAAACTAGACAGTTGTAAAAATTTAACTATTATCACATTGTTTAAGGCAAGTTAGAAACATATTTACTTTTATTAGTGTTTCTATTAATTAAATTATTAAATTTTATTTATTTTTGTAATAAAATAGGATGTTTCGCAACATACTTCCTGGATCAAAGGATTGCATATCAATCTGACTTACAATGACATGACATCTGAATCTCAACAAATAGAGATTGATCAAAAAAAGAAAATGTTTCTAAAATAGGCCATGACCAACAAAGACAGATAACAAGTTATAATCGTGATACCTGCGCACGGCTTTGAAGAAGGGGAAATTATTGTTTCTCATCGATTTTTTAAGTAGACAAAATTTGCAAAGAAAACGAATTATGGAAAGAGGAGGGAACAAAAGAGAAATTAGACTCACACAAACTGTAAAAAACTAGTAAACTTGAAACACCAATAAGGCCACATTTTCTAAAGAAAGTACAAACAATAGAAGGCATGTTAAAAGTTTTTCTAAAAGCAAACAGAAGTCAGTACGTTTTGGTCAAAATAATTAGTAGAAAAGTAAATAACGTTGCAGCTAATAATATTTTTCATAAACACTTAATTATTTATGAGATTTTACAAAATTGCGAATCATTTTGACGTTACCTTATAAAACTCAATCTATTTGATCCAGATCTATATTCGGCTAAGATAAGTGAATTAATCATTTTTTGCTCTTAAACACTGGTATAGGTACCCTTTTTTTAATAAACGTTTCCAAATTACATATGATTTATTGTGACTTTAAAGTTTAATGAAATAAAAAAATAGTTTTATCAAAATTATGGTTTTTAAATAACATTCCTTGTTTAACTAAATTCATGAAGGCCACAGTTTTTTAAAGGTTGAGTTAAAAATTGTTTGCGTTAAAGTAGCTAAAATTATTAAAACACTAAAATAGACCAAAGAAAAATTTTGACACTACTTTATTATTAAATTGCACTTTAAAGCTAACACTTTACACATTTTGAAACGTACAATACACTAAATCAGGTATGACGTAATTTATGTTCCAATGACAAATGACAGTGACAGTAGATTTATAAAAATATAATTTCTATTATTTTCAAGATTATTTTTATTTAAATATTAAAAATAATTCATTATATACTACTTTTTTACAGCCTGCAAACAATATTAAAAAAATCTAAAAACGTATATTTCAATGAGAGAACGGTTTGTTTGTTTTTAAAGTCAACTGTCATTGAAACATCAATTACGTCACACTAATATAGTGTATAGATAATTTGTCTGATGCCTAGTACCAACCGTAAAAAGGCTGATGACCGAACGTCTTCGGCGCTTGGTGAGTGTGGTAACCATGTATGCTGTGTTGCATGCCTCCCTGATGCGGGAATGGACCCAAACTTTGGGCCAGCGGCTGTCCCAATTGTCCTAAAGTGCCTGAGATTGATTGGTGGTTTGGTAAAGTAGGGCTGAGGTTTCTGATTTGGTGCGGAGAAGTCATATTCCATTGGGACGAGAGGTGATGGTGGTGGTGGTGGTGATCTGAATTGGATTCTGTACAGGGTGCGTCGTTGCTATTGCTGTTTGCTGAAAACAAGAAAATGTACATTATTACCGATAAGATATATTTAGACGTAATGTAATTTATTGCCCAAGCTATGTAGTGAAAATACATTTAAGAATGTCCAAATACATATACAATTAAAATAATTACAATTTAAAAAAAGCAAATATAAAATGATAAAAATACCAAGGTACTAGAAACCGAATTGATTCTAAAAACTCTCAGTCACATTATAACAGGCAAACATTTGATAGTTACTTTTTTATTTGAATTTTAAATTTAAGTTTGATGATATAAAATTTATTGTAAAGTTTGATTGTAATGTGATTAACAAACGTTGCTGTGGTTTTGTTGGGCGATGGTACGGAATTCAAAGAACTTTTGTTTCTAGTGCTATAATGATAATAATATCTGTTTTTCGTAAAATTTTCATCTTTTTTGGTATAAGAAAATACTGGGAAGTGTTAAAATATTCATTCAATTGAATAATGGTCGGCAATGTTACATAGAACCAGCTGAAGAAAAGGACCAAACTACTTTTTTCGGAATTTTAAAAATATTGTATATTTATTTAAAAAGTTTATTTGTTTTTATTTATATTCACTAAAACACTAATTTATTTATTAACTAGACTTATTTGTACCCAAAACAATTTATATCTCGAACACTAACTTATATTAACAATATTTATCTCAACAAATTGATTTTCAACTACACTCAGATGCAAAAAAAGACACCGCAAAAAATTTGGGTCTACGATAAATTTTTTAGCACACTATATAATTTTATCAAGTTTAATTTGTATATTTAGTATTTTCATAAAAATTAATATTTGACCTATGAACAGGGTTAATCGAAGGGCTGTTTTTTACCCGAATTTTGAAACACCCTGTGGGTTAATGTCGCTAGCGATTTTTCTTAAAACATAATTTTTCTTTTGAAATCATGTCTTCTCGATATTTGAGTTTTTGGTTCATGTCAATACGTGCATTGGTTAATTTTTGAGACCGAAATAAACTTTCCTCGAAATATTTGCGATTTTTTTACTTTTTTTCGTTGGGTTTGGGTGTTTCAAAATTAGGGTAAAAAACAGCCCTTCGATTAACCCTGTATCATAGATCAAATATTAATTTTTATGAAATTACTGAATATACAAATTAAAATTGATAAATTTATATAGTTTGCTAAAAAATTTAACGAAATTGTGACGTTATATCCCCACTTTTACTGCACTTTTCTTTTACTCAGACTATAGTTACAATAACAAATATTTATTAATAAACTAAGTTTCAATAGACTGAACCGTAACCTATTTGAATTTTATCTTTTAAATTTAGATTTTTCAGCCGTTTATTAAAATTAGGACATACATGAAAATGTACATTTATTCTTTCTTTATTCAATATACCTGCTCCCATCAGAACAATAAGAGTCACTCGTATGAAAGCTCCTTGGCTAACAGATACCTTAAAATGATGATGAGGTTACAAGACAATTCTCATAAAAAAATTAAAATCTCTAAAACCAACAGTGATTGGAAATACTATCAAGATCTTAGATACGAAGTAAATTATGCTATTAAAAGAGAAAAAAGGGCTTATCTTGAGTTTCAATTGAATAACAAACGCAACATGTGGCATGAGTTAAAAAATTCAAGTTTTAATGTAAAATAAACTACTGAATTACCTAGTCACTTATGTTAACCTGACGCTATCAATGATTACTTTCAACCTCTGATAGTAATGTAAACAATAGTGATGTTTGTGAATTATTTTTTGAAAATAACCTAAATAACTTTATTTCCCCATTCTCATTGGATTGTACAAATTACTTTTGTCCATCAAATCTAATGCTACTGAAGTAGATCCAATAAATATCAAGATGATATTACATTGTTGTTCACTCATTGTGCCAGTGATTACATATATTTTTAATTTTTGTCTAGAGCATAGCTTATTTCCAAACATCTGGAAAGACGCCATTGTAATTCTGTTACCGAAAAAAGATAAGAGTTTACAGATCTTCGACCTATTAGTATTTTGTGCACACTCTCTAAAGGGTTAGAAAAGATTATAGATTAACAAATTCGAAAGTTTACTACTCTAAATAACATTATCCCAGGAAATCAATCCGGATTTCGTCGAGGTTACAGTTGTTCCACCGCTCTGGCTAATATAACTAATGATATTTATTAAGCCGTAGATGAAAAGAAGTTGTGTGTATTAGTTTCAATTGACTATAGTAGAGCTTTTGATAGGATGCATCATCTTCTACTTGTATCTCTCTTGCACCAGATTGGTTTTTGTTTAAAAGCTTCCTCATTTATAAACAATTATTTAAGCCATTGGTTCCAGAGAGTTTTAGTGGGTAATTTATTTTCCGCTAAAAACTATTAGATAATGGGTTTCCTCAAGGTCTCCTTCTTTTCTCTCTATATACGTTTCAAATTTTACTTCATGTGAAAAAATCTAGGTCTTTATCTTGACACTGAACTCAAATTTAAAGAACATATTTCTCTCTTAATAAAGAAATCTTTTTGCTGTTTAAGAATGATTTATTCTCATCGAAAGATACTAATCTATAACTCAAAAATTACCCTCTGCGACTCTTTAGTCAATATTTAATCATTCCGATATTGTGTATAGCCCAGCTATAAATCAAAACGAATGCACGCGTCTTCAGCTGGTTCAAAACTCGTGCGTTAGGCTTATCTGAGATTCGTAGACAAATAGAATCTCACCAAGTTTAAAACAGATAGGCTGGCTTAATTTAAAACAAAGGTGTTTCCTGCACTGCTGCGTTTTCTATGATGAAATTAATTGTAAAATTCCAATATATCTTTATAAAAAAAGTCAAAATTTTGATATCAACCACACTCACTAAACCACAGATTTACAAAATCATTGTCCATTCCCAAACACAGAACTGCCCTTTTCAAATCCTCCTTCTCCTATAGCATATCACAGCATTATAACACTACCTAATTTTCAATCCATATCCATATCCATAAGTGACATGATGAATTTGATGTGGTACGTGGAGTTGTGAATTTATTTGTGTAGGTATTTGTTTTAGCTTTTTGTTTATGACTATTACTTAATTATTACTCAGTTAGTCAGTTTTATATATTATTTCTTACTGCTAAATTAGTTTATCGGAAAAAAAATCATGTACATTTTTTATTGTAGGTTAAGTATAGAACGCTGTTCTATCTGGTTTTTTTCAGATTGAAGAAAGCGAACTTTGCCTGTTGCTCTACAGGATTCCTTGTATTTATTATCTTTTAAGTGATGTATTTTTAATTGTTTGTAAAGGCCTGTATCAATAAAATCGTTATTATTATTATTATTATTATTATTATTATTATTATTATTATTATTATTATAATATAAAACTTTAAAATATGGTGGTGGACAATAGTTAAAATGGTGAAGGTTTTATTTAAAGCCATAAATTCCATTTGTGCAAATATTGGTGTCAACGTCCTTTTTAGAATTTTGGTGGAGGAACAACAAATGGTGGACAACAAATTACGTAACTATTTCAGTGAGTTGAAACCTTTAAAATCCTATAAGGATTGCAAATAAATTGAGTTGGTTCAATATATATGTATATTTGAAGTCAAAGAGCAGTTGAAACAGTAGAATCGGAGAGACTAAAGTGACACATTGCTCCAAAGTTGTCAATTATGTTAGGGATGGTTTTTTTAAAGATCCATGCTACACCAGATATTTAAAGGTTATACATTATACTAAAGCCAGAGTGTCGCATACTTTTTACGGAGTTTGAAATTAATAAAAATACCTTTAGAAAACATTCTTTAAATTGGGCGCAACAGGTTTTATAGTAATAAATAATGATTTAAATAATTTATCGATTTATACAAAAATTTCATCAGCATTTAATTAGATGTATTTTCTTGATTTCAATACATTTTTTAATATATTTCTTATGTGTGTGATTATTAAAAATTCCCTGTTTGACCATGATGTGCATAAAGAAAAATTAAAGATTGAAATAATAGACAATAAAAAAGTTGTAGGTAAAAAGTTTTGAGTTAAAAATCTAATATATGCATGGAAATAACATAGTCAGTCATTTTTGAATAATTCTTACTCTGTTTTCTTTCAAATCTTGGAGTTAAAAAGTTTTTTGTTGAATTTTGATTTAAAATAATAATATAAAATAAGTTTTATAATAATTTGTACTGCATGAACACTAAATATATCGGTACAATAAGAAATAATAGCGATACAAAAATGGTGTCAGGAAAATTTCTCATAGTGTTACGAATAAATAGAACACCCTGTGAATAGGTATGTTATGATTTGTAAATTTTGTCCAAGGGCATGCACATTAAATACATTTGCAATAAAATAACAAAACGTGTAGTTGGACAAGGTTTTATTAAATCATAATATTAAAGTACAGGGTCAAGAAAGATCAACACGAGCATTCTTGGAAAATTACAAGTGAATTTTCTGGGAGTTCCTTTGGGTTTTTGTTGGCGATCGGTCGTGTCCAGTTTTTGGCACTAAGTAAATTTCGGGTCGGTCACGCGAAATCGCGGTTAGTTTTATTTTGTGTAAAACCACGTAGTGGAAAAAGTAACGTGTGCCTTTAGCCAGTCCTGCTGCCTAACGGATAACAATGTTAATGTAAGTAGATACTTTTAAGGAGTAATATTTAATTGTGTAGTTAGCAAAGATTATTGAAGTGCTATATTTATATACTTGTTAAATAAACCATAGTTATTTGTTTTACGCTTGTTGTTTCAATCTTTCAAGTTAGGGTTCCTTAGGTCTTCCCGTCTGAACTTAACCCCCTAGCCGTGTGTTATCTAGAGGCCAATTTAAATACGAATTGGGCCCCTATATATAACCCGTGGTTACCGCTAAGAGTGGACTTTAGGGCCAGTCAAAAGGACCCATGATCTCACTCTTAACATATGGTGGAGGTGCCTAAGGCTCGATCTAAAGGGCGTTCCTCCTAACACCCTTACAAGGCGATTAAAAGTTTTTTC